TTTTATGTCAGTTTTGTTAATCCAGCCTTGTTCCTATTTTAGCTATAAAATCATAGAAAAATATAGGTTGCAAGGGACTTCTGGAGGTCATCTGTTCCATACTCCTATTGCTGCAGTTCCAGCATTAGGAAAACACACAAATCAGGTTTCCCTCGTGAGATAGAGCTTATTTTTATGAAGTTGGTGACTATTATTTCTTCTTTTAAAGGTAAGTTGGGTGTTGATTGGTGCTGGCTGCCAGCAGGCTGCACTGTAGTGTTTAGGCATGTCTTGATCTTTTCATTTCAGTGATGTCTCTCCAGTACTAGATATTCTCCAAACTCTGAAGGAGCAAGTGCTCTGCCCTGGGAGGATTACAGGGCTATGTGAAGGAAGTCATCAGCAATTTTATCTGATAATTGTAATGTTTCATCACCCTAACAGAGCACATGGCAACTCATGATTTCTGAGGCTGGATTTAAGCCATTTGCCATGAAAGGTAATGTCTCACTTGCAGTTGGTGGATGAAAGGAAGGAATAACGTTTGATTCCAGACTGTACTGTAATTCTGCTCTTCTCCACTGACAGAGCTTTTCTTCTTTCACAACGAGCCCTCTGCTGTCTGTCTCAGCCTGTTTACAGTCTTAGTCTGGCACAATCACTGCTGTAATGAGCTTACGTGGAGAAAGTATAAGTGAGAGGAAAGTCTCTAGACCTGTTTGGCCGATCTGTATGTCTTGCATCCTCCTCAGGAAGAAGATGAGCTTGTCTGGGACAGTCTGTCCAGAATTGATAAAGCAGGAGCAGTGTTTTCTTGGCTTGATGCAATTCAGGGCCTGTCTTAGTCCTCTGGGCCTGCTGTGGGCTCACTGAGGCTAAGTTCAGGTGGGTCCTTGGTGTTAACCAGGTTTATGAGGTGTTGGATGTGGTTTGTTGGATTCACTCTGCTCTCTCTGAATGAACTTGGATCTTCCGGCAATGTACTGCTCACACCAAGGGCAAGCTCATAGCAGCAATCCTGGTACAAGCCAATGTCAAGCGGTGCTTGTGATCTTGGGTGCATTATTTATACTCCAGACCTTATCCACAAAGGTCATTGCTTGGATAACACTCGCAGGTTCTTCAGGACACCAGTTTTCCAGGAAGCTCTTGGCTTCCAGCTCACTGGGAGCCTGTAAGAGTGCTGTGTCATACTGGTGCAACTTCTTAGGTTGAAGGCTCTGAGTGAGTAACTGAGCTTGAGAGCAGCTCTGTGCCAAAAACATTTCCATTTAAAAGGAGGAAAAAATATTCCAGTATCTCAGTTATTCTTGACTTAAAAAAAAAGGCTAATTTTACTAGAGGCTAAGTAGGTGTGTTTCTCAGAAACTAATCTGCATGGATTTCTTAGCTGTGTTGTGTTGCTACTTGCTGTAAGTGGATACATCTGGAAGGACAAAGGGCGTAAGAAATTCCTGTACTAATTGGAATAGGTGCTGGAAGTATGGATACTTCACAAGATATCAAATCCTCTGTGGGGGCCTAGGGTTGCCCTTGGAGTTATAGTCCATTGTAAGGGTGATAACATCTCTTTTTAAAAAAGAGAGGTTTTGTAACTGTGGTTTGAATGTTTTAAAAATCAGATTCAAAGCGAACACAGAGAGGCTTTTTACCCTTTTATTGAACTTTAGGCACAAAACATTTAAGCTTGCCAAGCTGCTCAGACAACAGGCTACTGTTAGGAGAATTCAAACTTTTAAGGACTGATGTTTTTTAATTAACAGACCTTGCAATTAAAAAATTCCTGTCTGGTGGCAGCATAATTGTTCTTGCCTCCGAGCTGGGGCTCAGGGCACTCCTGCAGAGTCTCTATCAGCAGTACACGAGCTGTGTTTGGCTCCTTTCTTGTGCAGAGTGAGGGTCCTGCAGGTTCCTCTTGATAAGGCTGCCGTGTAAGAAATCAGCTAATTATCAGTTTGTTAATACTTAAAGAGTGTTTCTGAGGGCAGGCCTGTGTGGGGAAAGCAAGCACTGAGGCTTTGGTGTGGTGCTCCTTTGCTGTAGCTGCTGTGTGAGCCCTGTGGGGTGATGTTTGCCACAAGTGCTGAGTGAGAAGCCCTTCTTTGTGTCCTTGCACAGGCAAACCTTGGCAGTGAACAGCATGTCAGACTGGAGCTGGGAGCTTTGTCTTCCTCTCCCTGTGACCTCTGGTACGTTGCCTGAAAGCTCACAGTTATATTTCCTAGTTAAACACTTTTCAACCAGAGAAATTAAAAGTTTACCATGTCTTTTGGAGATGCTCAAGGCTGCACTGGGCATGGCAACATGATCTCATCACACCTACTCTGACTAGGTGATATTTAGCAGACTCTCCCCATATAAATTATTGCATGATTCTGTCATTAATGCAGGAATTAATAAATGCCATGTTCTGTTCAATTTCTGCAGAAACAGAACTCATCTTTATACCAAGCTCAAGGCATTTCTCTAGGTGCAATCGCTGCTCATACTGCAGATTTTCTGCCTTAGAACCACAAGCTCAACTGACGTTTGCATGTCAACACCTGTCCCCATTATCTGCCCTTATTTCTGTCATTCCCTTCTGCCAAAGAGCTTGGATCCACTGCAAAATGATCCCCCTCCAGGGGCAGTGAAAGCAAAATCTATACAAATTCCTTGGCAGCTCTGAGCAGAGTGAGTGAGCAGCTTTCAGGCAGGGTAAGTTCGGGTATGTCTGCAACTTTGTTTGCTTTAAAATGAATTATCTGTGCAGACTCTCTCCCCTTCCTGTACAAAAAACAGTAGACAATAATACCTACCCTTTGTAAATAGACATTGTGTGCCATTCTTAGAAGCTACAGTTGATGATTTCCTGAAAAAAAAAAACCTTTCTCTGAGCAGCCTGTTACAATGTGCTGCTTGAGCTAGGCTAGAGCTACGTGACAAAAAATAGCCACAGTGAAATTTGATCTATCTTTAGATAATGTGATTGATTTTTCCTTTTTTTTTTATTTCTTTTTTTTCTTCATGCTGAAACTGATCTTGCTAGGCTGGGTGAGGTGGAGCAGTCACGTGTGCTTTATTGATACTGGGCTGTGCTTAAAAATTAAAATTGCTAAGTCATCTGAGACATGTATAGGTTCAGTTAATTCCTTCACAAAGAGTATTGGGCAGAGGAAATGAGCCAGTGCATCTCCTGCCAGAAGCACATGGAATGAGGAGAAACAAAAACACAGTGATTGAACTTAGAAATCTAATAAATTTCACTGTACTAAAGTGTTCTAGTAAACTTGCCTGTTCTGGTAGTGCCTGGGGACGTTTTTGGAATATACATCTAATTTCTAAGTGTCTGAGTCATGCCACATAAATGCTTTGAGGTCTTAGATGATTGCTGCCTCATCTTCTGAAAGTGCATTTTGTTAGAGGACTAACATTTTATCCAGGAATAGACATATTTTTAGGAATGCTTCATATTCTTCCATCAGCCAAACACCTGGCAGAAGTGCCCATCCTTCCTTTATTGGGCCGAGGCCTCAGTAACCCCTCCACTGGGGGCTCTGGAACAGTGCTGTGTCCCTTTTTGACCTTGGGACTGGACAGCCCTGTGTACCTGGAGCTGCCTCCAGCACCGTCTGTGTGTCAGTAGGTCAAACAGGAACCCACCTGAGGAGGCTTTGGCCAGGCCAGAGAGCCCTCACACGTGCTCCTGCCTCCTGCTGCAGGTCCAGCTGCTGGTCAGCCTGTGTGACACCGTGAAGGACATCAGAGCTGTGTCCCCAGGTGCTCTACCATCTCCACAGCCAGTGGTCCTTGCTGTGCTCCTCACAGCAGCTGAGGCAATGCAGACCTCAAAGAGATGACAGGACACTGCCAGCAGAGCAGGACTTTGCTTCTAGAACTTTCTTCTGGTGTGATGTATGCTGATAGCCTAAGCTGACTGCTCTGAGCAGATTTCTAGGTCTTTCTGATTAATTAATGGAGCTATTATTTCCTCCTGGAGTCTGGCAGTTGCCCATTTTCTGGGAAGGGATAAGATTGGCATAGTAACTAAATATGCTAACTTAGATGATGGTGTTGCCCACTGATTGAGTCCATGCCCAGGGCTCTATGTCCCTGCCATGTGCTACACACCACACAATCTATGCACAGCTTCCTGCCTTGTAAGATATTTTGAAAGCTGACAAAGAGATTCTTGTACTTAAACATCTTAGAATGTGTTGAATTTGACTTGTGAAGGATTTGAGGTGCAAAGGCACCACACGTATTTTAAATAGGACCATATTGATACAGAACTGCAATGAGTTACTGTTGTCTTAAATACCCAGAGATGCCAAAATATTCAGATATAGGTGATAAAAATTCAGAGCATTTGTCCCTTTCTTTTGGAGTTATTTTGACTAGTCTCCATACCGATAAAACTTAACAGAAGCATTGCAAAAATCATGTTGTGAGGAGAAAGAATTGGAGGTGCTTAATCAAATGTTTTGGACAAGCAGAATGCAAAGAAACATCTTCAGACTCTTGCAGCAGTGTTTTTCCTTTGTATTTGAGTAAAGCTGCATAATCCAACACAGATGCTGCTGTCCTTTGGGCAGTCAGATTTAATGTCTCAACTGTGGAAAGTCGTGACTAAAAGTGGTGCCCATCCCAGCAGAATTGGTGTGTTTACATGGGATGGCACAAGACTTCTGATGGGGGAGAGATTGCAGCCTCTGGCTGCTGCTTTCACTCTGGAGCTGAAAGGAAGGAGTCTGCCTGCAGATACAGAGCACGTGGCATTTCTTTCCTTTTGGAAAGTTATCTCTGCGACCAGGAGCTGGAAACAACCTGCTGAAAGTTGCAGTGTCAGTGGGGTGTTTTGTTAGCAGGGCCAAGTGGCCTGTCCTGTGTGAGGGAAAGCAGACAAATTGCTTTCAAGCTCTGGCAAACCATCCCAGGCCTGTGGCTGTGCTCCAGCCTCTTCTTCGCAGCAGCTCTTAATGATTAACTTAAACACTTTTATAGTCCCTTGAGAATTTAACCTCTGGTTTATATTCTGTGTGCAGGTGGAGGAATCTGAGGCCTTCTCCTCCGTGCAGACCAGGTGACCTCTGATTTTGCGTCTCATCACTTCCGTCTGCCAACCTGTCTGATATGTCGGGACCTGTGCCGAGCAGGGCCAGAGTTTACACGGATGTGAACACACACAGACCTCGGGAATACTGGGACTATGAGTCACACGTTGTTGAGTGGGGGTAAGTCTCTGGGCTGCTTCTGGATGTCCCTGCACCAGGATCAGTCCCCCTGCACACTGGTGCATGGGGAGGCACCTGTGCTGCCTGAGGCTTTTTCATGCTTCTTGGCAGATGTCAAGTGTTAGGATCACAACTTTTCTTCAGGAAAGTGTTTCTTATCCAACTTTTAAATCCTCAGCTGTGCAGGAACATAGCAGCTTCCTTAAAAGGTTGGTTTGAAGAATGTTTGCCAGGTAGTCAGGAAACAACCCCTTTCAGGGGGAAGAAAATCTTTTTCTGAAACAATCTAACCAGCCTTGGGTGCAGGGCTGAAAAGAAGTGAAAAGACTTTCAATCTGAAGTTGCTTCTGACTTGGATGAGTGAAGAGACTCAGCAGACTCAAATAGGTAAATGCTATTTTGTGGCTTGTTGCTCAGCTCTCAGCGAGTGCCTGGGAAAGAAAGGCATTGCTGCTTCTCTGTGGAGGTGTCTAAATTGAGCTCATGACTAAACCGTCCCAGAATCAGACAGCAGTGGTGGCAGCTTCATAGCTCTGCGTTCCTGCTGGGGTATGGCAGGGCCCAGACAGAGCTCTGCCCTCAGCTGTGCTGCAGTTCCAAATTTCTGGAATGTACACAGTTGTCTAAGCATAAGTGCTGCTTTGAGTTGAGTCTGTTTTTAAACAGGCTGCCACTTAAAGTTTTGCTCTTACTTGCTTTGTTGATTTTTTAACAGCATTATACAAGGGAAAATGTAGCTTCCAAATATAGAGAGACTGGGAGAAGGGATAGCTTGTGTTTGCTGATGCTGAAATACATAGTTGGGCTTTCAGTCTGTAGTTCTGGATTGAATCTAATGTGGGCAGATAGAAGCTCCATGTTTCTCTCCTAGTTCTTAATCATCCCATTCAGGAGAGGTAAGGCACTAGTTAATCCCCCTTGTCTGGCAGGTGAGGCAGTGATTGAGTGTTAAGGGGCAGTTTGTAAATCATGATGGAAATGACTGAGCTCTTTGGAACTCTAACCTTTTCTCTCCACAGAAATCAAGATGACTACCAGCTAGTTCGAAAATTAGGCCGAGGCAAATACAGTGAAGTATTTGAAGCCATCAACATTACAAATAATGAAAAAGTAGTTGTTAAAATTCTGAAGGTGAGCTGGGGATTGGGCAAAAGATAAAACCTGTCTTGAGGTGATCAGGAGGCCAGAAAGGGCTGTTTGATGTTCTGAAACTGAAATCCTTGAAGCCTGGCTTTGGAGTGTCACTCAGTGGGGCAGGCCATCGCTGGTACAAGCCCTGCACTTGGTTAGTAAGTCACATCTCTGCCTGTAAGGAGTTAGGCTCTGTCTTGAAGAAGCCCTGATGTGAGACACCTTTTTACTTGGAGCCAAGCAACACTTCAACAGCTGACTACAAAATTCTCACCTTCTGCCTTGGCTTGCTGGCATGGGCATTTAGTGGCCCTCAGATTGCTCATGGACTTGTCATAGTTAAACATTTGCCACATGCCAGTTAAGAAGTTTGGAACTATCATAGAATCACAGAACTGTGTGGGCTGGACAAGCCCTCTAAGAGTCCAACCATCCCCCAGCACTACCAAGGCCACCACTAAACCTTGTCCTCAAGTGCCACATCTACATGCCTTTTAAATCCCTCCAGGGATGATGACTGCCACTGGAGCAGCCTCTTCCAGAGCTTGACAACCCTTTCCATGGAGAAATTTTTCCTGGTATCCAACCTAAAAGTCCCCTGGCACAACTTGAGGCTGTTTCCTCTTGTGCTGTCACTTGTCCTATCAGATCATGTTCAGCTTTAAAAATAAAAATGCCATCTTCCTGCCTTTCCTTCCCATGAAACTAATGTCTGTACTGTCAGGGTTGTGTGGTGAGAAGGAGACTGCAGATACTTGAGCCCTTAGTGGGGTGATCCATACTCAGGTTATGTTGCAAAGGCTCTGATGTATTTTGCTGATCTGCAGTCACCTACCTTTGTCATCTGGGTGTTGAGCTATTAGTCTCACTTTACCTCAGTGCTTTATGTTACACTTTGGGTTTTTATTCTTCAGCCTGTTAAAAAGAAGAAAATCAAGCGTGAAATCAAGATCTTAGAGAACTTGCGAGGAGGGCCCAATATCATCACCCTGGCAGATATAGTGAAAGATCCTGTGGTGAGTACGGGAGGCACTTAGACAGTACAACTGGGTGTAGTTGCTGTGTTTGACTTCAGCTCTGATCTGGGCTTTTGTTTTCCCCTGCTTTTAAATCCTGCTTTTGAATCGACTAATCAGATCTGCTCTTAATCTGATAAACTTCTTTCAGAGGCCCTTCCCCCCACAGTGCCTTCAGCCCCTCACTCTGTGAGGATGAGATACCAGTGAGCTGAGGCAAGTTAATTCATTCTGCAAACAGTGCTGCCAGGGGCTGTGGGCTTTGGCTCTGCTTTCTCTCTCTGAGGGGAATCATAAGTATGTTGGAGGCAGAGGGGCTTTGTGCAGTTTTAGGAGAAAAAAATGATTTAATTCGTTATCGTGAATAAAAACTCATTATCTCAACTTAACATGGCTGAACACTTCTCTCTCTGTTTTAGTCTCGGACACCTGCTTTGGTTTTCGAACACGTTAACAACACAGACTTTAAGGTACAGTGTGGGATGTGAACTCTAATGTTTGTCTTTTGAAAGCCACTCGTACTGTGTTTCTGGGGAAAGGCAAGTACATAGGGCAGGCAGGTTATTTCATCATGCCCTTCCAGCATAGGAACTGCCTTTCAAGGCAAAAACAACTGAGGGAGAAAATTAGTCCTTCAGCACCATTTTGCTCGAGAACTTCTGCGAATCCAGATTCCAAGTGGTATTTAACCTTGTGAGCAAATGAACCTGTTACCGTGTGGCCCATCAGTGCATGTCTGTGTGAAGTGTTTTGCTTTTATGTATGTAACTATTGGAGCCACTTTAAATGTGGACAGTTGTTTCTGTAGCCTTCTATACTTCTGGGAATGGGGATTTAAATGTTTCTTTGTCCCCTCCCTACTGACCTGCCTCAGGAGGAGAATGGCTGGGCAATGCCATCAGGAGTAGCTGCTTAATGTTGCAGAATACCCTCAGCCTTTTTGTGACCCAGACTGCAGGTGTGATCCATCCTGCCGGTGCAGCTGGAGGGAGGTAGTGACGAGCCAGAATGTGCTGTCTGAGCAGAGCTGGAAGTAAACTATCTATGGGAAATACAGGGGGAGATGAACAGACTGATTGGAGTTGGGTGTGGGGATCAGAGTAGTTTGGGAAACTTGGACTGTTCCTCCGAATGGGTTTGGAGAACCACAGCAGCCCAGAACAGGGGTGGGTGGTTCTGGATTGGCAAGGATTGATGGCTGTTCTGAGTGTTGAACACTGATATGATGTGTTTGTGTCCCACAGCAATTGTACCAGACATTAACAGATTATGATATTCGATTCTACATGTATGAGATTTTGAAGGTAAGTTGGTGTTTTGCTGTTTTATTGGTTTATTTCTAGGATTTGCACTCAGCTGATTCTGTGGAGACGGTTCTCATGTCAACGGTGGGGGGAAGGGAAGAGAAAGCCTGTGAAAGTATTGGGCAGAAAAATATGTCAAGTCGGCATCAATTTTTCAGTCTACAAATTTTAGTCCCTTTTTTGGGTTTTGGTTTTTTTTTTTGAGGCTTGCAGAGCCTTTGGGTACACTGAGATAGCTTAAGATCCCAAATCAGAAGTACATGTATCCTCTGAAAACAAAAAACTGTAAGCTGTTACTGACTGGGTTTGTGCTCTGATGTAATGTGAGTCAATTGTCTTTGTCCATTCTTCTCAAACAAGTAATTTCTCCTTAGGAGTCTGGAGAAAGGGAACTTGTTTGATCAATAGTGCCTAGTAACTATGCTTTTGAGGACTCTGAAATTTCAGTTTTTAGGAGGAAGCACATGAAATAAAGTCAAGACAGTTCTGTTGCTGCGACCTCCCTTTGAGAGGAGGCTCTGGAAGTGTTTGGTGTGGGTCTAGTCCAGGATACAACACTGGGCACTGTTGCCATGTAGTTAGACTTGGTCCACGTGAAAATACTGAGAGTATAGTTGAACTTGGGAGGTTCTTGTGACTGCAGCATCAGTTTTTGTCCCCTGTAGGCTCTAGATTACTGCCATAGCATGGGAATCATGCACAGAGATGTCAAACCTCACAACGTCATGATTGACCATGAGCACAGAAAGGTAGTGTGGGGTGACTGGGGGGCAGAGGGGGGTCCTGCTTTTCTCTTGGCAAACTGGGATCCCTTCTGGGGACTCCTGTGTGGTGGTACTAGAAGACCTCTTCAAGGGGGACTGCTCTTTCATTGTGTGGAGAAGTGTAAAATGAGGTTCTCTGCACAGCTGTTGGAAGGTTTTATGGGCTAACTGTAACCCAGGGTCAAGGTTGCAGGGAGTGGGTTTTATTTAGACTGGTTTGGGGAGAATATGTAACCAAGTACTCTGCTCAAATTAATTGCAAATGGAAGACTTGTAAATGAAATTCCAACTAAACTCACTTGCAGTGTCAGTTCATCCAGAGGAGCATCCCTTGAGCCTTTTTCCTTTGTTTTCTACCCTTTCTAGCTTAGACTAATAGACTGGGGTTTGGCTGAATTCTATCACCCCGGCCAGGAGTACAATGTCAGAGTGGCTTCCAGATATTTCAAAGGACCTGAACTCCTTGTAGATTATCAGGTAAGAATTACTAGGACTTCTCTCTGACTTTTATATGGAAAGTCTGTGCCATGTCAAGGTAAAAAACCCAAAATTCAGATGTCTAGAGAGTTGAAGCTAAAGACAGTCTGTTCCAAAATGTATGGCTGGAAGCAGTGGCTATAAAGCCACTGAATTAAAGAACCTAATGAGTAGTCTCAGGACCTGAGGAAGAGCTGAAGAACTATCATCATGGATCTTGGAATACAAATGTTGAATATTTTTTTAGCCAGGCTGCGTTTGCAGTAAGGTACAGGAATGAAACAAAGCCCCTGTGGGAACAGCGAGTACTGCATGAACTTCTAAATTAAGCTATAAAAGCATCCCCATATCTGATGGCAGTTTGCATTATGGAAATCACAGTGTTCCTGGTGACTTTCAGACCATGCTGGTTCTGAAGAAAGGCATATCCTCACCTGCCCACGGACCTTGGGGAGTCCACTCCTTTTGTTGCTTGTTTGATGCTTCCCTTCCCACCACACACTTCTCAGTGGTTCGTAGCAGTGAAAATAGAAAAAGGCACTAGTCTCTAATATCCTTGTGGACAGGGATGGAATTAGGATACCTGCTGATTGCTGAATCCCAGTTTGAGTAACTGGAACGCTGAGCTGAACAGTGATCTAAGGATGAAGATGCATGAAGATAGTTCAGTCTCTTTCCAGCATAATGTGGCTGTGTTTGTGTCAGTGGAGGGAGGGGGAGGACCCTGTTAGTTTTGGGAGTCTGTTCTGCTTGATTCATTAGCAATTGAATTGTCCTTCTGGTTTTGTACAGATGTATGATTACAGTCTGGATATGTGGAGCTTGGGTTGCATGTTGGCTAGTATGATATTCCGAAAGGAGCCATTTTTCCATGGCCATGACAACTATGATCAGGTGAGAACTGGTCATGTACAATCTCTGTTCTCCTAGCACCGTGCAGGCTTCCTGCTTAGGCTTCTATCAAGTGATCAGAAGAAGAATTTAAGCCTTTCTCTAATGGCTTCTTTGCTCAGTTTGAAGCCACATTCCTTTTCTCGAGTGTTGCAAGATTATGTAACCAATTAAATGGAAATGGATTTATAGTGCTTTGTACTTAGGAGCTCCTCAGCAGCTATCTGGGAAAAGCTGTAACAACAGTTCTATTAAGGCTGGTGTGTTCTGGTACAGACTGACTACTCCTGAGGTTGTGCTATGTGGAGAGCCACTGCCCACCCTCCCCCTCTGTCTAGAAACTCTCAATTTGGTACAGGTTCATGTAGATTCTGAAATCTTTGATGTGTTGCCTTTAGGCCAAAATTTTTATACTCAAACCTTTACCACCTGCTCTGCATGTGATTGACATGCAGATATTCTAGAACAGGGACCTTCTGTTCTCAAACCTTCATCCTGGAGCTCTCTGGAGTGATGCTTCACCCTTCACATGCAAAATCCAGTGTTTCTGCTTTTTTGACCAGTTATTCTTGCTGGTTGGTTTTGAATATTCTGTTGGTTTTGAATATTTTCTTGCTACAGAGGGAGTTAGTGTTGCAGGGCCTCAGGTTTTAGAGATTTTTAGGGTGTGTGTGGCTCCCTCCTGGCTGCCTTGGGGTACTGAGCTCCAGCTGTGAGTGGAGGCACATTTCTGATGCCTGGGATTGTGTGTGGCTGGGGAAGCCAGAGCCACAGGATGGTCCTGTGGCTTCTGGTTCAGACCACTGAGACCAGGTTCAAGCTCCCAAGGGAATGTGCTGCTGTATCTTCACATGGGCTTTGGCATTATCATTCCCTCACAGTAATGACTTTTTTTTTTGTTTATTCCCAGCTGGTGAGGATAGCCAAGGTGCTGGGAACAGAGGATCTGTATGACTACATTGACAAATACAACATTGAGCTGGATCCACGTTTCAATGACATCTTGGGCAGGTGAGCCAAGGTCTGGAGTCTCTTTGATAGGCCTGGACAGCTACAGCTTTGTCAACAGACCTTGAAGCAAACAAAAACTTGTGGGAGAAATCAGAGCCAGGATTCTGGAGAACTGTCACTTTGTGCCTTCAGTCCCTTTTGCCAGTGCTTCCCATAGTCCTTTATATGGAAATGGACCTGAGGAAAGATTTTTAAATGTCACCCAGGCAATAAACGAACTGCTGGAGCAGAAAGCATGAAGGGCAAACGCTCTTTCCAGGCTTGGGGGGGGGGAAAAAACCAAACCAGTCTTTCTCAGCATTACAGTACAGAAAGTCAGGTACTGCTTAAAATATCATTTGCATATTTTTTTCCCCTCATAGAGTTATTTGTGTGATACATACCAAAACTAAAGGAGCTAATGTTGTGGGTGTAAGAGAAGGGCAGAACATGGAATTTTAGGACTGTACATCTATTCTGAGCTTTAGTCCTGCTGCTCTCTGGGCCTCTGCAGGGGCTGTGGTGTCCTTGCAGGGGCTGTGGTGACTGTGGTGTCCTTGCAGGGGCTGTGGTGGCCACGGTGGCCATGGCAGCTGTGCCACCACGTGGAGACACAGTGCACTACTGCTCTGTGTCCTGGAATGCCTCAGGCCTGCTGCTGCCACATGGAGCAGTGACCCCTCTCAGGGGTGGACATCTGGCACAGCTTGTGCTCCCAGAAGAAGGGAATTTTGGCATCCCTGTGCCCTGCGTGGCCTGATTTGTGTGTCTCTTCCTGCAGACACTCCCGTAAGCGATGGGAGCGCTTTGTTCACAGTGAGAACCAACACCTGGTGAGTCCAGAAGCTCTGGATTTCTTAGACAAGCTGTTGCGATATGATCACCAGTCACGACTCACAGCAAGAGAAGCCATGGAACACCCCTACTTCTGTAAGTGTCAGCTGCTGCCCTAGGAGTTCTGCCTCTGGGAAGTCTCTGTTCCACGGTGGGTTGGGCAAGTGGGAGCTGACAACAGCAAATAATTGTGCTTTATCTGAGGCTGCTGGTCTGGGTGGTGGGTAAAGCAGGCCACTGCCACCCACACCAGACAAGAAAACAAGGATGCCCATGTCAGGCCTGTGAATCAGCAGGTGATATCAGGGAAAGTCACCTAAATGATGTGACTTGGGATTGCTTTCAGCCAGTGTGCATGGATTCCTGTGTTCTGATAAACCCAAAGAACTCTGGTTTGTTGAGACACAGCCCTTGTAACTCCCTTTGTTTCTCAATTGATTAGCTACTGATACACTCAGGTCTTGGTTTTGCAAGCAAAAATTAGCTTCCGCTAGTAAGTGTGTTTAAATGCTTGGTGTTTTTCCCAAATAGTGATATTTAGGGATTTGAAACAGCTGCAGCAATGCAAAACGTCACTGTTTGCTCAGGTGTTTTTTTTCTTGCTGCTGAAGACTCATGTTATTAACAAACAACAGAGATCTGTGCTACACCTGTGGGAAATACCACAGGGAAATGTTTTGCAAGTGTGAGCATTAGTGAAGCCAAAAGCTTAGAACATGAGAGTTGGACAAACAGTTAATTAACTTGTGTCCACGTAGAGGTACAGGCTGTGCTGAGCTCAGCGTGAGGAAAGGCAGCATTTGGAATTCCCCTGTCTGAGGCAGGAGGCCTTGGAGGCAGGAAGGGATTATCCCTGTTCAGGTGAGAGTGTTATTTACCTGCTGCTGAAAATAAAGACTTAGTAAGTTGGGATCATTTCACAGAAGACAACAAACTCCAGTGACACTCCTGACAGCCCACAAACTGCTGTGGGATGTGTATAGAGACATGACACATGATTGTAATTACTGATAATCTCTCTGCTTGCTACACCCATTCTGGGTTTGGCTTTGTGCAATTGCACAGTTGCTTAGCAGAGGAAGGAGATCAACTTCACC